ATATATATAGACACACACACACACATCTGTTTGCGCAGGAAATCAGCTTTTATTATGGGCCCAAAACGGACTTTCCCCCGAAAGCCTCTAAGCACAGAACCTGAAGGGATCAGGGACTAGGCTCAAACCCTAAACCCGAAATCCCAGACCCTGAACCCTAACCCCAAAAAGTATGTAGAATAATAGCCTTAGAGGTTCTGGGGCCATTAGTTTACTTACTTTTGGGGGTTTAGGGAAACCCTACAGCCGAAACCCAGGGGGTCTGGTCGTTAACTCAAAACCAGCCCGGTCTCAGCGACGCTTCAAGGTGAACGGTGCGCCGGTGTGCCGCGGACCCCGGCAAGTGCCGGTGCTATGGCCTCAAAGACCAGGAAGCCCTAAACCCTAAACCCTACTGTAAACCCATATGCACCCTGAACCCGAAACCCTCGAAGAGTAGGAACCCTGACCCTGAACCCTAAACCCTGGACCCTACAGCAAACCCTGAACCCTAAACCCTCACAGGCTAGGACTCTAGAAACCCTGGTCCCGAACCCGCAAATCCCGAACCCTAGACTCTCAAGGCCTGAGGCCTATAAACCCTAAAGCCCGAACCCTAAGCCCGAAATCCCCAAACCCTGATACCTAAGCCCTAAAACGTAAACCTCAAAACCCGAACCCTGAAACCTAAATCCTCAGGGTGAACTTATAGAGCGTCGCTGGTGGGGTGTTCCGAGTTTTGGGCTTTAGGGCTTTCGGGTCCAGGACGGTCTATGGGTGCAGGGTTCAGAGGTTGGGGTGTTTCATGTTCGAGTCGGGGGATGTTAGGGTTTTGGAAGTTTGATGGGTTGCGCGGATACAGCTAGCAAACAAGGTAAGTACCTAAACCCCCCAAACTCTGCCCATGCCGGCCTTGGCAACTGTGCGCTGAGTACTTCAAGCGGTTGCCAGCACTAGCATGGAAGCTGACACCCAGGGGCTCCAATGTAGTTCCTTTTTGGGTCTGTTATGTGTTTTTTTGGTAGGGAGTTGTAGTATACCACCCAAGAAGGAACTACATATAGGAGCCCTTGGGTATCGCCTTCAGGCTAAACTGGGTTCGCCTCCAATGTCTCAAGCGCCTGAGCTCATCAGCCCAAATACCAAACATATACATCCTGAAGCCCATAATTTCAACCTAAAACCCAGACATCAACTCCTAAACCCTAAACCCTAAACTCCAAAGAAAACCTAACCCTGGGAACCCAAGGATCCAAACCCCAAGCCTCAACGCCCCAAGCGCTAAAAGCCCGAAAGCAGCATCATCGACCCTAGATGGGACTTTCTGAAAATAAGGGGGTACCTTATTTTGGGTCCTTATGATAAGGATCCTACTATTTCGGGTACTATATTAGGGTCCCCTATTTTCGACCACCTCCATATACTCCTAAGCTGTAAATACTCCTAAGCCCTGAAGCATCCAAGGCTCCCGATGTGCCGCTCTATCCTTTTATCGACCTCCTCGGATGCTCGGCAATGTTTGGAATATCATTTATAGTATAGGGGCCTAAATAGTTACCTATACTATCTTAGGGGCTCCTTAGTAATATTATAGTATAATGGGCCCCAAAACCGTATTCTAATCATTTAGGATTCTACAGTAGGGCCGGGGCTCGCGGGTTTCTTCTCATACCTGCCGTTGGGATTCGTTTGTCGCGAGTAGGTTTCGGGCCAGTTTTAGGATCTGGAGGTCTGTGATTTGGGGTTTGGGCTTCCTGGGTTGACTTGAGGATTTCGGGGGTGATGCTAGTCCGCGGAACTGCTTTTGGGAATAAATTGGTAGGATCCTAAACACACACCACAAAAAGGAACTACAATGGAGCCTATGGGTATACCGTAAGCCCGGAAACCCCATATCAGACCCCCAGCGCCTTTCCGTAGACCCCTACACGTAGGACGCTGTGCCAAACAGTAGCCTAGACTTTGAACCCGATTGCCCTCGGGCATTTGTCTCCGAAGCACGAATCCTTTGAACCCCAAAGGGGTTTAGGGTTTAGGGGGTTAAGGGGTTTA